TCCAATCAGTATAATCAAACACAGCTGGACTCAAATGAAGGTGTAGAACCATCTCTGGGATGATCAGAAGAAATGGACAGCAGCTAAGTTAAATATATGAGTGAAACAGCAAAGGGTCTGAATACTTATGACCATGTGATATTTCAGTTTTTCTTTTTTAATCTGCAAAAATGTCAAAAATTCTGTGTTTTTCTGTCAATATGGGGTGCTGTGTGTACATTAATGAGGAAAAAAATGAACTTAAATGATTTTAGCATATGGCTGCAATATAACAAAGAGTGAAAAATTTAAGGGTGTCTGAATACTTTCCGTACCCACTGTAAGTCCTGACATGTGTGGTGGGGGGTTAGAAATTTGTGATGAAATCATTGATGAATGTGCACAAGTATCAGCAACATAGTGCATGTGTCAACAGAAGCTTCATGCATGGTAATGCATTAAGACAAATGGCAACAGAGCATGCATTAGGAGTGAGACATGAGAAGGCAGGAGTGGACCTTGCCTTAGCCAACCGATTGCATGTTGCACTCACATTACACCCCACCAAAGTTGCTCTTGAGTACCTCTGATCGGTGTGAGGCACATTTGTATTCTCCCATAAATCTCCCTTAGCATTCTACCAGTTCTGTTGTTCCAAGTCTCGCTGCATGTTCTTTAGTAGGCTTGTCCCAAAGAAAGGAGAGAAGGAACAGCCTCCGGTTCTTCTTTCCTATTAATTGCGAACAAGTAGGGGGTGGCTTTGATCTGCCCTGTCCCACTGAACCCCAGTGAGGTCAGGGTGCAGTGTGACTGCAGAGATACACATTAGCTCTGATTAAAGGGAAATATGCATCACTATATACTGCTTTCCTTTTTTAATCTGTGGCTGAGATGTGATGCGACAGCGATGCCAGATTGGGTATGTACTGCTGCAACAGCTTTATCTGGGTTCCACCAGAGCTGAAAGCCTAATGAATTTGAATTAATCTCATTTGAAACCTTTGAGTTCTTGTAAATAAGTTGAGGAGCTGATGTAAACCTAGCTAAGGTTATTTTGTCGGAGAGTCTAGGCTGTTGCTCGTTTGACTAGCAGCAGAAATCAGACAAGAAGTGTCCTTTGACCCTTGATGCTGGGTCTTGTCTCTCCAAATCATTAAGATCTGAGGACCTGTATTCCACACTGGTATGGCAATGACTATCAAGGCATGGCCTGCACCAGTGCTCACAGTATTTATTATGGGAGGATCATTCTTGTTCTCAATTATCTCTCAAATACTATATTCTGTCTGGTTTTAGGTACTTTGGAATTTGTTTCTCAAGATATGTGTGTTGTGGTTGTTCTTATGGTTTGTTGCTGCTCTCTATTGCTGCTGGAACACAGGAATTTCCCCATTGTGGGATCAATAAAGTCCTACCTTACCTTACCTTCCATGGTGTCAGGATTCATCCTGACACCATGGAAATCAACATAGAGATTGTTCTTGAATGCAATTATTTGTTCCTCCCTGTTGTATGAATTTGAGAGTGGGAGAGGTTCTTTGTACTGCCTTTAATGCATCAGATGACCTGAGAGATGAGAAAAATGAAGATTAATCTCCTGTTATGAATTATAAAGTATCCACAAGTCACACAATTATTGTTGGCATGCTCCTCTCAGAACATGAAAATCTCACCTTTCTCTCTCCATCCCATGTGTTTTACCATCTTGTTGCATTTTTAATCTAGATTTTACACTGTGTATGCTCTGTGGTTCAGCTAGTAAAAGATGGTAATGTGCATTAAAACCAAAAGATAGAAACATTTTCCTATGCTTCAGCAAACAGATGGAAGGTCAGCTAGGATGGGAGGAGTACAGAGGAAAGGCATATGTAGGCTCCTAAAAGCCCTTTGGCTAACCTACTTAACTTGATCCTGACAAAATTCCCACTTCCACATACCCTTCCAGAGTGAAATGTTAATCAACCCTAATCTATTCTGATGACTAGGCTTACACGGTGATGTCTGCCTACACAATCATTTTTGCTACAGTAGATGGAGATGCATGTCTGTGTTAAATGTGCACATGAAGAACAGTTTCATTCTGCATTTTAGCTGTTTATTATAGCTAAATCTAGTCACTTAATTTGATGAGGGAAAATGAACTGGAAACTTTAATTTCAGTTTTTGTATTGTGGTAGTTTTTTTTTTTAATTTGCTCAGTAGCTACTTAGGTTTATGACCAAAAATCTGCAAACTAATTACATTCCCATGAGCCTCAGCTGTACCTTGTGTTCAGTGCAAATTAGCTAATTTTAGCATGCTAAGACAATAAAGATGTAAACACAGTCAACATTTTACCTACCAAACAGCATGTTAGCAGTAATGTGAGCATGTTGGCATGCAGATTTTAGCATTGAATCAAAGGGTACATTTCCCTTCAGATATTTATTTTCATTCCTCAATTCCATTTCAATTCTCACTTGACTAGGAGGTCATTCCTGGTCCACCATCTTGAATGGTCTCCAAAAAGCTCTTATTCCTGCTCTGAGTGAGGCGCGAGAAGGCTGCTGGAGCCACAAGTGAGGATACAAGAGACCATTCTTTGCAGACATCTTTTATGGACTGATGATGCCCCTTTATCAGAAATCAGTTGGTGATTGGACACTTCACATGAAGGATTGGACGTAAGTTTGTTGGCAAATCTCAGTTTCCTTAATTGCATCCACTTCTCCCTCACTTAGTTCCTCCCACATAAGATGAAAGGAAACAATGCAAGGAGAAAATGCGAGGACCAAGAAAACACATTTCTACAGATATGAGATGGACTTCCAAGTCAAATGAGGATTGAGGAACAAATAAGGGAACAGAGTTACTCTATTTCCTTGCATATTTTCCTCACATCTTACATGAGAGGGACTGAGACAAGGAAAAGATACAAATGAGGGAAACATTGATGCACTTAAGGGAATTCAGATCTACTGTACCCTAACCATATCTAGAGCTGCTAGCACAGCTGTTTTGAAGTTTTGGTCAGACGTTGGAAGCGCCTCTATAATTTTGTCTTCCCCAGCTACATACATGAGGGTCATATTATTAGGAACACCTCTGAACATAATGTAGTCCAGCATAACACCACCTAAAGGTATAGTTAAAACTATAACCTCAATAATAAACATTATTGAATTTATACATTTAGGACAATTTCAGCAAAAACTGAAGCAGCGAGTGTTATAAACACAGATGTTAAGGCAGAAGTGTTGCGTTGAACTGAATACAATTGTAAAAGTGCACCTAATAAAGTGGCCGGTGAGTGTATTTTGTTATTGTCTTATAGTTAAAAAGAAATTGTGTGTGTGTATATTTTCCATAAGGGATGAAGAAGAGCAGTGTGCTGGGTATATAGTTAGAACTACTGGCTACAGTGAAGAGTAGAGTGGGAAGCGAAAACTTGACAAAACCAAGCATACCCATTTCGAGAATGATTCCTCGTGTCATCTATTGGTCTCTTCTCTCATTACTACCTAAACCCTTTTTGTGTAACCTAGTTTTGAAGTTCTGACCTCAACACTGAAAAGCTGTCAAGTGCTATTGGACTACCCATGTTCCAATAAAAGTCACAAAGTGCTCAACAAAGCTGATCTTTATTGTCATAAACATCAGGTTTTTCAGGACACAGTCATGAGCACAAACACTTTCTGTGTTTTTTTGGACAGTCAACGTTTTGTGCCAAACACTTTATATGGCCTAATGTGAGAGTTTTCTGACTTGTGCTGACTCATGTACATTTGTCATCTGAGCAAAGAAGACTGATCCTTAATTCTGTCACTTCCTGGTTTGTGATGGGACTGAAAACAAAGGACAGTTCACCAATGAACACAGCATTCAGTGAAAAGTACTACTTTGCCATAGTTTACGTACCGCGTGCGACATGTACACATCACTGCTTTGTCCTTCATTCACAGTCCTACATTTTGTGTCAGACACAGAAGAATAGCTCTACATGGCTTTTGCTACCAGTTTGGCAATGATATATTCATCTTGTTTTCCTCCTCTGCTGTGACAGAACAAAGCAGCTGATTCACTAGTTAATCTATGTAAATATATGTTTTTTTTCAGTATCTATATTTTATCTGTAGAATAAGTCTATATAGCATATACTTTGGGTAGGGTTTTAAAACATTCATGTATATTCACTTGACCCTGTGATTTTTTTCTTCCTTATGAAAGATAAACATAGCCAACTATAAACAGAACTACTGTACTTGCCATGTAGCAATGGCCTCCCAACAAAGCAACAAGCAAACATGACATCTCTTTGCTGGTTATTTAAAGACCAACCACAAGCATAAATATACTAAAAGACCTCTGTATTAATCTAGAGTATAAAATAGCATATGTGTCTGGACTTGACAATAGTTTATACCTACCATTAACTGGGTACGCACAATTCCACAGGTACATACATGAGCTGGCAACAACAGGTAGGCAATTTGATGGTTTCCTTTTTGTATTTTACTAAACAGAGTATTCTGTCAGTGGCTGAAATGCAAGACTTCTACAATCAGAGTGAATAGACCCTTGGCATATTACAGAATACACATTATAGGCATTAATCAACAAGTCAAAGAGGTAAAACTTGGCCTACAGAAGACGATGCTGATTAAGTCACATTGCGCATGAAGAGCATTTTTCTTTTAGAAGGCCACAAGGATGTCACCGGGCTGCTCGTTAAGTGTTTCTTCATCGGTCCAGACAGACTGAGGACCATAGTACTGCTCTTAGTGAAAATATTGATTTTCCATTACAGGAGCAATATAACATATAATAATTGTATTACTGATTTCTTTTAGCCTGTAATAATCCAAGGCCAGTAGAGAATTTGTCAGCCAGTGTGACAGTAGACAGTGTGCCCTTATTATGAGATTTACATTTCACAATAGTTTAAAGGGTCCGTTCACCCAAATTAATGAAACATATTTTTGTACTTTCCCATAGTGGTATCCTGGCTGATCTTTCAGGTAGTTTCAGTTAATGTCAAAGATGTATTCTTTGAGATTTCTGCCTGTACTCCAACACCATGGAGGGTGAATAAAAATTAATTTGTGAAGGTCACAGCATTTAAAACCACATGTTCTAAATTGAACTGCTATTTGTGTTGCAAGTAAAAATGGCTTAAGGGTTAAGATGCTGACCAGGAACTGCGGTGTCTCTGGTGTGACTCTGGCATAGGTTCTGTTAGTCCACTGCAAATAGTCATTCCTATGACTGATGCATAAGGTAATTTTTTGACTATGGAGTGTTGCCTTTCTTCCTGACTCTGTCTCTGGGAAATACAGCTGGCATAGGATGAGAGGTTATGTTAAATGGATATTTCATTGACACAATTTTTTAATAATGATGGAAAAATCTGAAGGCCATCCATCATTTCGACAGATAAGAAAACAGGGCAATTTACCCTAACTTACAGTAAGGCTACTAAAAATCCCAGTAACTGCTATGGTGTTGATGAACAAGGTGGAAAAAGAGGAACTAATGCGGTGGATGAAAGACAACTGAGAACGTAGTCAGTGTATCTTGTTATTTGGGAGCTGACAGCGCATCGAAGAGCAACAGACTGGAGGCAACAGAACGCATGTGGGACAAGTCACGGAAGGATGCAGCTGCGCCTCTGGTACAGAAGCAGTGCACAGTGCGGATTCCTCCTGGTGAAGTGAGCATTTCAGGATTGGGAAACCACATTCAGAACAACTTCTAAACACTCCCCGAGAGAAATATTGCCTGACTTTAAAACTTTGGTTGCAGTGGAGATGGCGAGTCCAGTTTCCAGCATGGCAACAGAGCGCAGGTTCAGCTTTCAGATCTAAATTATGACAGACGTGAGAAATTGTTTGACCGAAGATGCAAAACCTACTGACAATCGCCTCTGCAGCAGGTCAGCCAAGTTCAATACAGTTAGCCAAACTGTAAATGGCTTGTTCATATTTTAATGGTAATTGTCTACTTTTGTAAAATTGAGGTGTTCATTTTTGCTGGTTTATGCAGAACAGCTGCAGTGTTTTTAGTGGCCTTTAATGTCACAGTGGGCAAAAGTTGTGTTGACAAGAAAAGTGGCAGCATATTAGCTTTTTCTGTATATTAATTATTAAACAAATACAATGAAAATGAAAGGAAATTATCTGCAAGGTTAGATACCATAAGAGACAAGCGTTTGGCTGAAATGACCCTTTAATAGCTTTACCGTGTCAGCTAGGTTATAAATTACTCTTAACTTTTAAATAATCAGTAGAAAAAATAAAATATTCCATTTCCAATATGATTTTAAATACATATCTCTGAAAACAGAACAGTGCATTAAAAATAAAAACATGAAAAATTATATTGTTTATAAAAGTGAATTCTCTGACCTACAGAGAACATCCCCTATGAACTGTAACACAAAGATCAATTTTCACAATTGGTTTGATATTCTTCTTCTTTGTTTTCCACTTTTGGATCAAGTCATGTGCATCAGCTGGTGAAAGATGAAACTAGTGTTAACAGACATAAAAGAGACTCTCCATCCCTGTGCTACTAATTGTTAGGACTGAATGTGTACGAGGAGTAGCCACAGTAAAGGGCTCCATGCCCAGCCAAGGGCTACACTGGTTAGTGTGGGCTTGGAGCAGGAGTATCCAGATCCCCTTTTTCCTCACACTCTTCATGTCCAGTGTAGGAGCTCAGGGCATCCCAAAGCAGGCTAGGTTGTTCACAGTGGTGGTGACTCCGCCAGTGCTCCATAACTCCCTCTTTAGTGTCCAACACCTCACTGCAAAGCACACAGTTAAAGGCCGCACCTGCTGCAAGGACACTAAGTACTCTGCCACTATCTGGTGGTGAAATGGCCCCACTGTCCTCCTCCTTCCTTCCATGATGGTGGGACATGATGTGCATCTTAAGCTTGGAGAAGGAGAAGAACTCCTCATCACAGCTGCCACACTTGACCAAATTGCGTTTCTCATTGAGCTGCCGCCAATAGTGGGCAGCATGCTTTACCAGCTCATCTTCAGGAGCACGGCCACCCCGCAGGGGCTGGCCATTGTCAAGTCGAACCTGGACCTCCTCCCCGTGCACATAAATCAAGTGCATCTTCATGTCAGCAAAGGTGGGAGTGATTGCCTGGCAGCGACCACATTTAATCTGCAGTTCTACTGGGTCTTCACAATCCTGCTCATCTGATGGGTCAAGGGAGTTAGCCCTGGTGAGAAAAACATTGCAAATGCTTACTTGCTTACCTTGTTATCACAGTTGAATATTGCCTTGTCTAGCAATCCATCAGTTTTTGAGCCATTTAATTTATATTTTGGAATCTGTGCATTAGGGGTGTGAAACATGATGACATTAGATTGGGAATGATTAAAATGTCTCCACAATTTGCTTTTACAGAGAGATCATTTGGTTCATGTTACAATGTGCATTCTATCAGTTGCAGTTCCATGGCCAACATGCAACACTGCATAGCACACCTTCACATTCCCTATTTGGCTACGTAGTGGCATGGATGTCAACACAAAAGTTTCAGTCCTTAAGAATTTCACATCAGTAATATGGAACTGGTTTGGATTTTCCAAAACCAACGCTGCTCAAACAGGTTTTTGCAAATGTTTGCATGTTGGATGGCAATATGATGAAACTTTTTTTAACCACCTTAAAAAAAAAAAAAAAAAGCCACCAGAAGACAGTGAGAGGACCCCATCAGCTACAGCTACACAGCCAGCAGTTACATAGCCAAAAGAAACAACTAACAATATCATTTGAGAAAGGCACACCATATGGACAGGACAAGTAAGTGCTTGAAAGAGATAACTGATGCTGTGACTTTTTACCTGGTCAAGAATATGATTCCTAAAAAACTGTAGAAAAAGGAGGGCTTAAAAATACTGCTCAAAACAGCTGATTTACAGTATGCAAATATTTTTCCAACTTGACCATTCTGCTGCTGTGGTACTCAACAACAACAACTGATCTAGTCCCACTGCTGAATGGTCTGTTATTCTTTTTCTATTAGGTTTTGTTACCTTATAAGGTTTATGTTTTTAATTATGTTTGGTTGTACTGTTCAGTATAGTTCAATCACTTGCAAAATGGTCTTCAATACCAACATAGAGAAAAAATCTGCTGCTGTTGGTCATTTGCACTGCTGTCCATGTACATTTCATAAGCTAGTATGCATCTCATCACCAATGCCCCTGGTGATGCTGACCACCTGACAATCTTCTTGTTATTTGCACTACTGTCACTGTTTGCACATGGCTTTGAGTTTCATCATAGACTATTAGGTTGTACCATTTAGTTTATCCTTATTACTTGAATTCAGTTTTCATATTCTATTTATTCTATTTTAGTTTCTTAAATGGTATGGGCATGGGGGCTCAGGTGAGAGAAAAACAGTATTTCGTTTTTTCTGCATGTACTGGACATATTGACAATAAAAATCTTTGATCTTGTTCTTAAGATAAATGAATAGGATGAATAGGAAAATAATAAAATAATAAATAATAATAAAATAATAAATTGTGATAAGATCATGATACTGCCTGAAAAAAATTAGGTTATAAAAAAGATTATAATTAAATAAGGAATCATCATGTTCAAGAGTTCACAACTGATAATAATCTTACCCCTCAAAGGACACATCATCCTCATGATGGCTGATGGATGGCTCTACAGTCAGTACCACCTTGTGGACCTCTCTAAGATGACTGAAGTACACTCCCACATATCCAAAGGCCTTCTCGCAGAACTCACAGCGCAGTGACCGACGTGGGCGTACCTCTGAGTGATGAAGCTTCATGTGGGTGCTCAGGCTGCCAGAGTGAGCATAGGCTTTGCGGCATACTGGGCAGATGTAGGGCCGACTGTTGGTGTGACTATTCATATGACTCTGGAGGTGATGCTTGAACTGGAAACAGCGGCTGCAGGGGGGGCAATGGTGGAGTGGACGGCAGCCTATGAACACTCTGGGATGGGAAGCACCTCTCAGGTGAAAGGTTACTGGGGTTGGTTGGGAAGAACAGTCAAGGATCTTGGAAGTGGTACTGGTGGGGAGCTGATGACCAAGGAAGAGCTCCTGTTCTTGGCCATCTGGAGTAATGGCAGGCAAACTAACCAATTGGGGAACTGTGTCCATAACCAACATCGGTTTGGGTCGGATGCTCCGGTACTTCTTTGAAATATCAACTTCCTTTTGTTTGGAGCCTGGAAGAACCGTTGGCAGTTTCTCAGGCACCCTTCTACGAAAAAAGGACAAGGACCGCTTCTTTCGGGCCTCAAATGCTAAGATGTCTTCAATTGTCTTTCTCTTCCTCCCTCTCTTTTTGCCAGGTGGTTTCTGGAGGGACCCCAGTACAGGCATGAGTGTGGTCTTGGACTGGGGTTGTAGAGCAGAGTTTGGCAACTGGCTGTCACTAAAGGCATCAGCTGTTTTAAGGGCCTTGGATGTAGGATGTAAGGTGCTGGTGAATCCTGTGTGGGTAGAGAAAGCCTTCTTTTCTGGGGACAAATTGCTGAGCTTGGTAGCTGGGATGAGGGTGCTCTTAATTTTGGAATAAGGCAAGATGGGAAGTTTACCCTTTGGCGGGGATGGAACAATCTGGACTGCTTTACTGAAGATGGCTGGGGACAGGACAGTGATACTGCCTTGGGGTTGGGCTGCAGTGGGCTTTGACTGGCACAGCCTCACTGTAGTTTTACTTTCCTCTTGGGATTTTCCTGAGGAACTTTTGACAGGAGCAGGGGGGTACTGGAGGCTCTGAATAAGGCCAGCTTTAGCGGGTTGTTCCTGGCCTTCTGGTACTCGCTCCAACTGAGAGGTGGAATACAGGACAGTGTTGTCTGGGAGCAGAGCAGTGACAGAGATGTCAGAAGAGGCTGTGTCAATCAGAATTACGTGCTCTGAAACCTCCTCTTTGGGTTCTAGGGGGGGGGTTATGAGCTTTGATTCCTGTTGTTTTTTCTTTGTCAATGTTGATTCCCCACCCAACACTGACTTGGACTGTGCTGTCACAGAAACCATGGAGGGCGTTTTCATCTTGGCATCTAGTGATGGTGATTTGACATTATCTGTGATCCCCTTGTTTCTCACTGGCTGATATCTGGGAATAGGCAACTTGAGGTTCTTTTGGATTGATTGGGTTTGTTGCTGCTGTGGCTGCGGTGTCTGAGAGGAGACAGAAGGGGGCAGCGCCACCAGGGAGAAAGTGCCATCTTGACCTGCTATTTGCATCAGTGCATAGTTTTGGGTGGGCACAATGATGGACTTGGGGGTGGAGGCAGTGGTAGCCTCTGGGAGGGTAGAGGTAGGCTGACAGGATAGGACCGTAGAGCAGGGGGAGGGCACCATGGCCGGGACCTTAGGGGCGATGCTCCGGAACTGAAGGCTCTTCATCTGAAGGGGGAACTCACTTACTCATGAACTGAAACACAAAAAACATGCAGTATAATTAATTGTTGCACTACTGGTAACCTAAACAATTCACCTTGCTTAAAATTTTTGAGGAAACAGATATGCCTTAAAAAAATTGGAGTAATGAATACTAAAGAAACTTAGTTTGAATAAAATTGACTTAAATGGGTTGGAAGTAACTTTTTAATAGCAACATTAAGTTCAATGCAGTAAAAGACTAAACATTTGTATTCACAATTTAAGTTAATATTTAAGTTGAGAAAACTCTTAGTAATAGAAAATGCAATACATTTCTCAAAACTTACACATAACAGCAATAGAACACACTGTTCACATCTACGTACAAAACATTCAATATACAGTACAGTTTGTAGCCTAAGAACTTTTATACTTTATGTCAGAACTGGATATTCCTTCATTTGGAAGCTCAATAGATCTGTGACAAAATTATCTTCCAAGATGATCCCTGCTTTTGTTGGGTTCTGGTGAGGAGAAGCCAGGTTTCGGCAACATCTTTGAAGATGTTCTCATTATTAATAACCTTACAGAGACGAGAAAGAAAAGACAACGCTGACAGTTAATATTAGTAAGTAGTATTCTCATTCTACTTAATGAGACATTGATTTGTCTGAAATGGAAGAACTAAACATTAATAGCATAAAGTTACTAACTGTGCTGCTACTGAAGAAGTTAGAAGGACCTTCCCCAAAAGGAAGCCCCTGTGGGACGGGGCACTGATTTCTGTTGGTGCAGTAATCTGCAGGACAAAGAATGGTCCATATCAGCTACTAACTACACTACCCCTAACAACAGCAACAAGATAAATGTAGCCACCTTTGTCTGCTGCAGGAAGCAGGCTAACAGCTGACCAGTGTAATCTCACTTCTTAAAGAAGTTCATGAGGTTTGGACAGAAAGCACTTTACAAAACTCTTCCATCTTCCTTAAAAAAAAAGTTTCAAACAGCACAGTTTGAAAACAGCTACAGTAACATTACTTACATGTCAGTAATGTTGATATCCTATATTATCATGAAGAACAGCAAAGAGAACTTGGAGGTTGCCCAAGCCTTATATGATTCTTTCTTGCTTGACCTGGAAGTTGTTGCAGTTGAGTGAGGATTGAGTACATCATAAGACTCTTACTCTGTAATTGCTCTGAGAAGCAGTAAACCACACACACACACACACACACACACACACACACAGAGAGAAATACTTTCTGGAAGGATCAGTGAAGCATAAAAGCTGCCCCATGGTATAAGCTTTGCCAAATGAAGAGGTGCCCCCCTCTCATCTCCCCCTCCACTGACCAGTACTGCACGCTGGCCAAAGGCAATGAGGACCTGAAAAAGCCCTGGATTTATTTAATCATCCCATGTTCACAAATAACGTTTCATGGTTACCCAGTCGGGATAAGGGTTTTCCCCACTGGTTATCCATTCTACCTATGTTGATACTAAATACTGCTGAACTCTATGGAGAAACTATAACCTAAGAGTGAGGTTTTAAACAAGTCTTTATTATCTCAATCTAGCAAACCATTTCCATCCATCAATCAAAAGCCACAGGTATGGCTTTAAAAACAAAGGCAAAGTTTCCTACAGTTAGATCAGTGCTGCATATTTATATCAAAAGGAGGGAGTGATTATAGTGGAATGCTTCAAAGGGCTTAATTGTAAACAGATTCTTAGAATTGAATTTCACATGATGACCTGACTTTCAAAAACAGCATTTCATATGGGCAGAGTTCCAATCCCACTCTGTAATACTAATCACCATAAAGCTGAAAGTGTGGAAGCTGGAAATGTTTCTGTACAGACAGATTATCCACATAGTACCCCAACCACATTCTGACTCCATAAAACTGGACATATTCCTCTCCTGTGTGATAGTTTATTCCAGTTTGACTGTGACTCTGGCTAAAAACAGAGTGGAATAAACCTTTGGGATGTACATTTCTTGGGGCATATTATGTGGCTACAAGGGTAGAAGCTTGGTGATTAATTCTACCATGTCAAAATGTACAGTATACTGTAGCTGGACATGAAGAAAAAAAGATGCATATCAACAGCTGAAGAAGGGAGCAGTAGAGGCCTGAAATCCATTTGTCATAGGTGATTCAGCAGATGTTGCCTGACGCCAAGTCACTCCACTCAAAAACAAGTTCAGCATCTGCTTGTCTAGTTTTACTTGAAAAGAAGGAAGAGTACTGGGGCAACATGGTCAGTGTTTTGGGGGGTACTGTGTCTGAACTTTAATACTTTGAGACATCTACCATTAAAAAACACACACACACACACAACTCATTTGATAGACAACAAAACCAAATTCATCAGCTTGTCTTCATCTGAAGAAGTCTATCCCAACAACTGTAGTCAAATATTAAAACTAACTAGAGAAATGCATTTCCCATCGTAAATGCATGTGAATGCTGATAAGATGAAAGATCATCCTGAAAATGCCCGAAATCAATTGCTGAAACAGCTGAAAGATGAGAAGAAATGGCTGAAGTTCTTTGTTGAAATAGTTGAGAGGAAATGGCTGAAGTTCTTTGCTGAATAATCTGAAGGATGAGATGCAATAAAGTAGGAATGGCCTTGAAGAGCTGAACATTTTGATACCTGAATGGCTTTGCTAGCTGAAAGTATGCTGAACTCAAGATGTGAAAATAGTCCAATAGGACCCCACAAAGTAGGTAAAACAAGTAGGTGTGAATGTGTGTGTGAGAGAAGGGGGGGAGGGGCAGAGAGATGGAGAGCTGAATAGATTAAAAATATAAATGTTATAAAAAAGTTGAGTACAAGCAGGGATGTCCTTGAAGAGTTGAACAGATAAAGACCTCAATGGCCTGTATAGCTAAAAGTACGCTGTACTTATTAAGTGTCAAAAAAAGGGTGGGAGATCCCACAATAATAATAAAAAAACTAGAAAAATGCATTTCCTGAAGAAAATGCGTGTGGATGCGAGCTTGGTAATGCATTGCTCTGAAAATGCCTGAAATCAATAGCCAAAATGGCAGAAGGATGAGAAGAAATGGCTGAAGTTCTTTGTTGAAATAGTTGAGAAGAATTGGCTGTAGTTCTTTTTTGAATTATCTGAAGGATGAGATGAAATATATACAAGCAGGAATTTCCTTGAAGAGCTGAACATTTTGATACCTGAATGGCTTTTGTAGCTGAAACTATGCTGAACTTATAAAGATGTGAAAATTGTCTCATTCATCCCCACAAAGTATTTAAACGAGTGATTGTGTGTGAGTGAGCGAGTGAGAGAGAGAGAGAGAGAATTCCCAGTTACACCCAATGTGCAGAGAAGGGATAGTGGTTATATTGGTATTGGTAGGGATGTTGGAGATGGAGCTGCCAGGCAAGAGGTCAAGAGGAAGGCCAAAGAGGAGATATATGGATGTGCTAAAAGAGGACATGAATTTAATTAGGGTAAGAGTAGAGGATGCCGAGGATAGAGTTAGGTGGAAACAGATGATTCGCTGAGGCGACCCCTAATGGAAACAGCCGAAAGAAAAGAAGAAGAAGATACTATCTCCACATCACCATGTGCAAATCCATTGCTTGACAGCATTCAATTCAGTAGAGCCAATCCCTGTTGATCTTCAAGCAAATTATCAGTTACAGCACTACAGGGGAACACAGCTGCGGATCAGTTATCACATTCACAGTGTCAATACCTGCTTTGTGCAGCATAAAAGTGCTCTGCAAACATTTTGCATCCTCATGCATATATTGTGCTTTCTTATAACAATGTTGGTTTGTCCTGATGGATAGATTCAACATACAACAGAGGGACAGAAAACATTGAAAGTTCATGCACAAAATTAATACTTTCCAGTAGAAAAAGACAATTTGTTTGACTTTAAATCACTTTACTCTTGACTTTAATCTCTATCCAAATAGTTTATTTTTTTGTTTTATAACAGTTCATTCCTTTTATTTTCATTTGATCCATTCTTCCTGTCTTTTTCTAATCAACAGGTAAAGAAAATAGACAGAGAAAATGTTAGTCTAGCTAACACATGCAAATTAAGTAATTAACCCAGAGGAGATGACCAGTTTTTAAAATAGTTTTCATTAAGGTGGAGTGTCAGCTGGTAATTATGTAAAAGGATTTTCACATTTGTGTGTTTTATCCTTGGGCTAATGTCAACCTTTGGAATACACAGCAGTCATATATTGTAATACCTGAAATAGCAAAATTTCACATTGTGAAAACTATGCTCTGAATTTTCAAAGCAGTCATCACAATATCAACATCACTATGATTTGACTGAGAAACAATTTTCCCCATGGTGATCTTGATGGTCTGTCTGAAACTCTGAACTAATGAGGTATTAACCCAGCCCAGATAGCAAGCATATGTGGGCCGAATCCGGCTGAGTTGCGGCACATCTGGCTAACTGCCGATTTTGGCAAATGATTACAGGCCATACCCGAGCAGAGCATGCCAACGGACTCTGGCTGACATGTGGCGCATGTAATCTGGGCCAGTTTTGGCTGAGTACAGTTGGGCTGGACGTCTGGACGCCGGTCTGTATTTTTCCTGACTAACTGGAATACGCCCCTTTCATTTGGTGACATTTTAGAGATGACTTAAATAGATCCTAATCCTGTTATATGCAGATTGAAAATTAAAACAA